TGAATCAACGACATCATTAGAACCGACATTGAATGCCTTGTATAACCGACGTTGAATGATCATTCTCGTAGTAGTGATATACTTGGGAGAGCTTCTCTTATCATATTTGTTCTAGCCTTCACAATATTTGTTAGTGCTGTTTTCACTAGGTAAGCCCCATCATTTTCTCTTAATTTGGTTTGGTTATTATGGTCAGATTTTCTCTTAAACTAAACTTATATTTAATGAAATATATACTTATAAAACTCTTATGATGAACTTCAGTCATAAAACATTTTTGGTTTATTTGTCAGGTGGAGTTGGCATTGTAGCAATGGTGAAAAAGATTGAAAATGACGAGTATATGGGATTTGATGATCTCTGCAAGTATAGTTCATAACCCATTTCATTAAATTATTTTGTGGTTCTTCTTTTATCTCGAGTTCCCCCAACAACATAGGTCGTCAAAATTGACTCATGGTATGTTTGGATAAGTTTGAATTCTGCTTATTTGTCTCTTGTTGAGTGGAAAAACAAGTGAGTATAGGATATTACTCCAAACACTTAATTATACTATGTTCCAGGGTTCCTCTTTTTAAGAATTATCAAAGTGGTGATGATATGAATTGCATTTTTAATATTATTTTATGCTCCAGCTTTTTTACAAGCTACCATTTTATTATATTAACTTTGTGTTTTATGAAATTGGTATTACCAATTTATTTAATAAAGCATAAAAACTAATACAAATTTATCTATATAGAGAATAACTGATTAATGTAGAAATCAACAATTTCACAAATGAAACCAGAATTGCGACCAAGACCATATAACTTTTTTATATTAGTTTTGATTCAAACATGAAATAATAAGATACTCGTGAGTTTTTTTAAGGTTAGCCGTAATACCAAGACTATGACATGTAGTAGTAATGTTCTTATGAGAAGATTTAAAATATTTGTAAATTAGAAAATTCACATTAATACTTAAAAAATCCAATTAGCAATTATTAATGACAAAAATAATTATCTTAATTTCATTAATATTTCTTATATTTTTAGGTTTATTTTGATATATAGTGGATCATTATACAGTAAACATCTCAATTATGTTGATAACTTCGCGCACATCAATTATATATATATATATATATCAAATGAGTAAAGTTTTTCAAAACTAATAATGAACCTATATAATATAATAATAATGATTAAGAGTGAAAGATTGAAAGAAGAATTGTAATTTTCAATTTCTTATAACTATTTTGCTACAGTTTTTATTAAATATGGTGTATAATTTAGATAATTTAATAACGATACATAAATTTCATTATATAATAAGAATATATTTCAAATCAAAATTTAACTTATAACATTAAATTATGAGTTTAAATTTTAAATCCTTAATTAAGTCTCAACCGAAATATCATCATCGGTTATTCATCACATACATTATTATTTGTTTTTTAAAATAAGAAAATTCCAGCAAGATTAAAAAAGGGACAAACACATAAAATATTGAGAAGTACCCATATTGCCACAAAATAAAAAAATAAAAAAATAAGAAAAGATAATTGCAATGAAAAAAAGTACCACGTAAAGGAAAAAAAGGAAAAGAATTCAATAAGAATTATTGAACATGGTATCCTCTTCTTGAACCATTCTGTTATTAATCACTATATATAATTGCTCCCTACTTCAAAATTAACAATTTAATCTTAAAAAATAGTTTTAATTATTTAATAAATGAATATAACAAGTAAATTAATTAGGGGTAATAGCTTAAGCCCCTATAGAATTTAAATAAAATGTTATTTGTAGGCTTCTGCTGCTCAGAATGCATACCGATAGATGGCATCTGCTACACCATCTTCATCATTGCTTAAACCAATCACGTTAGCCACTGCTTTGGTCTTCTCCGATCCATTACTAAGTGCAATGCCTAGAGAAGCCAGCTCAAGCATCTCCATATCATTTTCCCCATCACCAATAGCCATTATCTAAAGACATTAAAGACATAGCCATTAAAGAAAATTGGGACAAATATAAAGACATTCAATACGCCCAAAAAATTGTATGACTGACTCCTCAAATTATCAGTATGTTTTGTACCCTCAACTCGATCGATATTTATAAAATTCATCAAAAGATGTGTGCGTCAAACAGATTAAACAATAAAATTAGATCGGGAAAAATGTTATGCAATGTCATTCAACTGCTATATTATTTTAACTTGAATATTGCCATCCCCTCCATTCCATATATGTGAGTGAATAATGTTATTATCAGAGTCTGGTAGAGATAATGCAATCAATGTGAAAGGAGAACTGATATTTGTGATACCTCCTTAGCAGTAACCCCCAAATGATCTAGCAGCACTTTAACCCCATTCCCTTTTGATGTTCCCAAGGGTACGATTTCCAGCATGTCAGGCACAGCTTGAACAACAGTGGCACGACCTTTTGTTGCGTCTGACCAGTATGGCCGCAAGGTGCCAGCCACCTTCTCGGTGGTGTCTAAGAAAATCATTTTCTGTAGAATCAAATGTAAATGTCAGCAATATCTACATGTGAAAAGTGAACGACAAGCAGCAACAACAACCAAGCCATTTCTTACTACATGGGGCTGGCTACAAGGATCAAATGATACCATATTATTCTATTATAAATCTTGTCTACGGATAAACTATTCCTAAATGGTTTTGCTTATACTTTTTCCTAGTCTCCACCTCTAGTGAGTGAATATAAAGAAAACTTTCCCTCTACTGTAGCAACGCAGTTAAGAACCTATTCATATTTATCATTATGTTTGTCTGTCATTTATGGCTAGTGTCATGCAATCATAAAAGTAGATTTAGATTTAGTTAAGCTCGTAAGCAATTTTAGATGAGGGCAGGGTGCAGAAACACAAAATCATGCAATACATACTTTAGACGATAAACTATATAAGCACCTTCTAAGGGGAAAAAATGTCTACGTTTAATGTCGAACTACAAATTTCAAGCCATTCCTCCTTTGCTGGCTTGAGAGACCTCTAGTGTGCAGTGAATATTAGCTGCCTAGGTGAATTGTTAAGATGCTATCATTCAGCATCCATTACAACAGTAATCAGAAGATGAAACAAGAGAGCGAGGGTTTGTCCTAGTATATACCTGTATGTCAGCAGAAGCCAATAGATGCTCAACAGAAGGCATGACCTCTGCCTGTGAAGTATTTCTGGGTAAGACACAATGGCAAAATGGAATGCAATAAAGCCTATACAATTCAAAAAACGAGGTACCTTTGGTTCATGGTATATTGTATGCAGTGAATCAACAAGCGGATCATGAAATAGGGTTAAGCAGCGTCCTTCACAAAATGCAATAAGTGGTACCTTACTCTCCAACGAGTAAATACATGCCTGAATGTTAAAGAAACACAATTTCTTTCATACAATTACAAAAATGAAAGTCCTACATAAATAATCAGATATTTAGATTTCAAAGTTGGAATCCTCAATCTTTTTGTAATGTAGAAAACTGGCATAAGAGAGTAATTCCAGAGACACCTGAAAGTGCGGTGGATCAACTACGTGTTCTTTTTCTCATTTGAGTAAAAAGAAGAAAAAAAGAGAAACTTGAAAATTTATAGTCTGAGAAATATAAGCTGGTCATTGAATTACATAAGCAGGAAATGTTACCTCTCTACAGACATTTGGATCTAAGTTGCTCCTAAATATTTCCCGACCTTGTCTACCATAAACAAGCAATCCCTGGAATCATGTGGAATAAATATAAGGCACAGGAAAATAAAAGAAACTACGAAACAGGAAAGTTGTATACAAAACTATAGTCCGATGCTTCATGGTGTTGATTATTCAACTAAATAATCCAGAGGTAAATTCATCAATTTATTATTTATCAATTTAGGTCATGTACCTTTTGAATTTCTATTGTGCTTTAAAATCACTTGTGACAGTTTTGGTAAACCAAATGAGCTTCCATCAAAGAAGCAGTATATGGTTTAGTAGGAACAACACCTTTGTGGTTAAACATTCACGCATAAAAGAGTTTGCCTGTAATTGACCCCCACGTTCTATAATTAAAACATTAAACTGCCAGATGTACAATAAATATTGTTAATCTGGTTGTTCTGATGACCACCGTGTTCTGTAATTAAATAGTTAGCATTGCTATGTTTTGCCCTACTGAATATCCTTTCATTGCAACTGAAAGGAAGTTGATCTCATTCAGTGTATCTGGAATGCTAAAAAAGGATATTATTTGGTTTATATATAAAATCTTTCGTTAAGAATATTAGCAAGCAAAAAAATATTTGACTTTTCAAATTTGCATTAAAATGGTTTAGTTTTAGAAATCTTGTGTATATGGTGAGATTTGTTACAGTTAAATTTTAATTGTAAATAAACAGATTACTTTTTGTAAAATATGGTGAGATTTGCCACCCATAATGCAGGGGCAAATGTTAGCACCATGTTTAGTGCTCAATCCCATATAGCAGCAAAGTGGCCCTGAAAGTTCTATA